ATTAGTAAGGGATTCACATTGTCAATACTGACTTGATTTATCAACAATATCAAATATAATCTGTGAAGTTTGTCATGTTATCTAGGAAAAAATGAAGTCTATATGTCACTAGCACAAAAACTTTGACTTGAAAAAACAACATAATTCTATCAAACAGCAAACACATTAAAATTGTAAAATCAACAGAAAGTGTTTCTTTGTATTATGACTACAAGAATTTATCAAATTTTTCTGAATTTATTAAATTCTGATTTTAGATGTGTGATTCATCATACATAATTTTATGTAGGTAAATTTTGTAGTGTATGGAAAGTTATTTGACTTAATAGTATTTAAGAACTCGGTGTTTTTTGAAAAACTATAAAACCAAATTTGAACTATTTCAATCATATGGAAGTCATATACAATATTTAATGGATCTATGCTATTTATGTTATGATATTATCTAATTTCATACTATATCCATTTATGGGAAAGTTTTTAAGAAATATATATTTAATTATATATACTGCATATTTAGAACATACAGATTTATTGAATGTAGTTTTGGAATTCTTGCCAACAAGTGGTGCATTTTTCATAGACCAATAAATGTGAATGTTTGATATCGTACAGAATTTATTATCAAAGAGTGCTGTGTTCTCTGAAATTTTATGAGAAATTGCAATCAGATTGAATTAAGTATATGTTAATTCTTGAGAAACTGTTTAAAATAGAATCATAAATGTTTCAAGTGCACAAAGCAATATAAGAAAAAAATTACCAAATTTTTTCTTAAGCTCTGAAGATATAATTCTATGACGAATGGATTGGATATAATAAAAGTAAAATCATGAACCATAGGTTAGGTTATGTTGATTTCATTAATTTTATTAGATATGTAATTATGCTTTTTCGCAGTAAAAATAATAATTATTCTAATAACAAATTTACTTATTTAGTTTTTTTTTCTGTGGATCTTTTTTCGAAATCGGGCATAAATTTAACAATTGACTTCATTTTCTAACACCTGCTTATACAGTGGATAAATTAACACTATAGGACAATAATAAAACATCTTCCTATACATTTTTTTGAAGTAAAACTGACAGCAGAAAATTGATAGTTGCGCCGTTTAATCATCTAGTATGAGTGGCACAAGTGAAAATAATGTAATATTCCACTTTGAGTCTGTTAAGTCTCGACACTTGTTGCGAAGTGAACGACTTCAAGCATATATATATATTTAATCAGACTATGTGTGTATATTGTTAGTTAAATCGAAAATATCACGAAATATCATAGTACGGATATCATTTGTATGGATTTGTTTGTCTGGCAGAGAATTTTGTTATTCTCATGTGTTACAATTTTTTCAATAAAATAAAACAGAGATACTAACTCACTTGCTAAAACATACTATTTGGAGGTTAGAGCAGTTAGAAATTTATCAATTTAATATATTCTTAAAAATATAAGCTTTAAGACAATTTATCTATTCTATTATTAAAATATATTTTAGTTTTACCGTAATTTTATTTATGTTATATTCTATTTCAATGCGTGTCTAGGATAGTTGTATAATTCAATTTAATATTTAATGCAAAAAGAAACTTTTCTTATGGGGACTAACAATATAGTTCTATTACATATGTGATCGTAATCATGACAGTAAGCTATCAAAAAAGTAAAAAAATTGATTTTATGATTTATTTTATAATACAATTATTTATGTTTTAAGAATCTAGAAGAATTAAAAAAAAGTTGTTAAATACACCATTAAATGATTGCAAAGTTAGTCAGTAAATATAATTCTATTTTTTATTTATTTTGGTAGTGGGATTTTCTATATACTTTATTTTTTTTTAAACACATGATTTTGCTGCCTGAGAATATCTGATTTTTGTATAAAATTATATTTATTTTCAAGGTAAATGACACTTAAGATAAGTCAACTTCTTCGCTTAAAGCTTTAAAACAAACGATTATATTACAAAAAAGAAAAATATAAAATACTGTTATTGGAAAAGAAGAAGAAATTTTCAGTACTATTCTAAATCGAATTAATATGATTATAATTATAATAATAGTGAATACTTTTGTTTATAATTTTCTTTTTTTAATAAAACTGAAATATTTTTTATTATAAATCATTTTTAATTTATTTGAGTAATTTTGAAAATAGTCTAAATCAATATCAAAAAACGCATATTTTTGTATAATATTCATAAAAATTCATAATTACATAAAAAATTTACTTTATAACAATAAGTACTTTGAAAAATATTTTGTTACATAATGGAAAAATATTTTTTATTAGACACAAACGCAAAGATTTAAATATCTCGATACGAAAAATATATCACTTCGTCCACTGTTATAATTAATGACACATATATGATTACAAGTGACTATTGACTAGAGGCTCTATTCATAAAATAGTTAAGTCCTTCTATATGTCTTCCATTATTAAAAATAAATTTATACATTTTGCATAAGTGTAACTCAATTCAATTATTTTATATCTAGAAGCATACAAAATCCACTCGAGATATATATTGGATAACACTAATTGCAGTTAATGCTAAATTTGAAGCTTAATAATTCAACATTATCTTATTTATAAAGTATGATCATAAAAGCTATAATAATTACTAATATAATATTATGTAATATACAAGTATATTATATAATATATCAAGTTAAATTATAATATATCAAGATATATTATATAATATATCAAGTTTTCTATCCTAATATACAGTAGGTTCTGATATATATCAGGTTCTTTATGTATAGGTTTATATATAGAGATCATATCATGCTACAGTGGAAAAGATATCAACTATAAAAATTGAAAAATCTTTAAACTGTCTCATTTGTTAAAAGTTGTAGAAAATTATAAATTCTACGAGCACTCAATCTTTAATCTTATTATCCTTCCCAGTATACAAACGTGTTATAGCTACAAAATTATAACAGATTTCTTAACAATTAAAATATAATATTAGAAGAAATCTACAAAATAGTTTACTATATTGTCTAATCTGTAAACCAATAAGATTTATATGTATATACACATATACACATGTCTCTTTAACAATGTATATTTTATATTATTACACCTTTGTGTTTTATTTCGTAAATGTCTTTTTTTCCTTTTTTTATATATAAATTTTCTTTGTAGTAAGTTTGTTTAAAAGTACAGTATTTTACGAAAGTTGTATCTTGATTTGGTATACGTAGAATTACATGAATATAGATTATATGCATATTAATTTATTTACATAACTTTAGATTATTATACAAGCTATTTTAATAATTATTCCTATCTTAAATATTTCAAATTACGAGAATTAAAGAAAAATTCATTAACGAAATTTTAACTTCACAAAAAATCATTATCATCATATTATGGTCCCTTTTGTATAATTCAAGTTTTGTTAAAAAATTTTTTCCCTAATTTTCATTGATTTAAAAATATTTTAAGCAGCAATAATTATTAAACCAGTCTGTATTTTATTTTAAAAAACATGTTAAAAAGATATAAATTATTTTGGAAAAAATAATTTTTTATATTCTAAATTAACATAACTTAAAATGATCAACACACATCAAGTTATTTTAAATTACGTCTATATAAATCGATATAAATATTTAAAAAGCATGAAATGTAAGTATAAATATACAATCTTATTCTAAAAATAAGTACTTTATTTTCTAATTTATATCTTAAAAAAATATCAATAATCACTTTGGAAAAATTCTTTAATTGGAATTATATCGTAATTATATCTACATAGAGCATTTTACATTATTTTACTTTTTAGTACTACTTCAGGAATATACACAGTTTCACTTTTTTAACAAATACAAGGCAACAAAAGACGAAAGGATTACATAAACATTAAACACGTAAAAACGTTATATTTACATAAAATATTAATAATAATTAATTATTGGTATAATATTCATTACAATAACATACATAGTGGCTCATTTAAGATTGTCCACTGAAATATCATTGAAACTATCAGGGATATGACAAAATAATTAAAACCAGAATTGAAGAAATCTACGACTAAACTGGAGTACATATATTTTTTTGCCATTTTCATGAATGAAGGTATTAATAGATAGATATAAGGCATTATTAAAAAGGTGTTCCTTTTTTTTTATAAAATGCTATACTTATTCTGCACATTAAATTGAATTTGATAAGCACGATCTAGAATTAACCTTAGTAATAGAATGCACATTCTAAATTTATACGATACTAGACTTAATGATTGAAATTTTATGTACGTAAGCACTTAAAGTAGTCTAAAATAATTTAATTTGGTAGTCAAGCTAATACACACAATCCTGATAAAATAAAAAATATTTAAATATAATCAAAACAAATATTGAATACTATTTTATTTTATTGTTAAATAATTTTAAATAATCATGTTTCAAATGAGTTTTTATTTTTTAAATATAAAAGGCAGAATTTTTCAATCATTAAATCTACAATTATATTTTCGAAAAAACTTTTAAATTACATACAACATAAAATTTACTATTCAAGCTCGTATTGTTAAAAACGTATTGTTATTATAATTTATTGACTATCAATCTCAAAATAAGAACTAAACATTTCATTTTAAGAACTACACCAATAATTGTAAAATATTCACGATAATCCCATCTGTATGTCACAAACAATTAAAAATAAAAGTACAGTGGGAGATAATCATATAATAATTAAATTTTAAGTTCAAATTAACTGAATGTAAATAATAAAACTTGATCACGACTGCATCAATTACGAGATCTATGTCGTGTTAGTTTTTGTATTATCTTAAGATCAGTGTATTTATCAATTTAAATTTCAAAAAAGAATGATATTCTAACATTATTTCATTATATAACATCAAATCTCTAGGATTTGTTGACCTTCATCAGAATACAACCTAAAGAGTTTAATTTATCTCTTTTATTATTTTTTCGTGAATATTTATAATTCGTGTGGCAAAATAAATTCGTTGCAATGATATGACTATAAAATAAAAACTAAAATATTGAGTTGAGCTTATATTTTTATTTTTCTCCTGTAAAAATGTCTTTCTTTCATTACGTTGTTTTAAATTCATGAGCTCTTTAGATTCATGCATTCGTAAGAATGAAAATTTCGTGACTTATTCTTACTTTTATCTATTACGATTCCAATATCACATTGATGTATAATTGTTACAGATAGTATGTTATCGCTGTTTATGCATACTAATGTTCTTTTTTTAAAGATTTAACTTAAATCTCTTTCTTCTTTTTTTGTATCTAGCATTAATGATAACGGTTAAACTTTTGTAATGTACATATCTCTCTTCAACTTCTTGCACGATTAAGAAGATAATGTTTGACGTCTGTGCATGAAGAAGGATGAAAAGGAAGGTCAAGATTCGTATATCAAACGTTGATAATGAGGAAATATTTCCCAATTTGGAAGGTGTAAGCCAAATTCTAATGCGACGAGTACAGCAAATTCGGATGTAATCAGATCCTTACGATTCAAGCGGAATACACTTTCTATCCTCTGTAAAATGTTTTTATATAAATTGTTAATAAATAAACGATTAAATAAACGTAACAATAAAAATGAATACCTCGATCAATGATTTCAAAACATCACCCTTAACGTCATTTAATTTTGCTGCAAGAAGCAAACAAGCACCCGCGCATAATTTTCGTGTTTGTTTAGTCACAATATTACGAAGAATTAATTTTTCAAAGTATACATAAGCCATCGCTACGGTCAACATATCTATCCCATATTCCGTCTTCGCTATCTTACGCATCTCTCGCTTTAAACTATAAGTTAAAATTTATTTGAAGATATTTGTATCGTTTCAAAGATATAGTACATAAGGTACAATAAAAAGTTAAAAATATTTAATACATACCTACGTAATTTACTGAGCGTTAGTTCTATATGCGGAAATTTCTCTTTAAATTTGTCATTTAATTCCTTTTTCAAATCGGAAGGTTTGACATAATCAATCACCGATGCCTGTAAAAGAAATAACATAATACCATGTTAAAAAACATTCATTACACTACACATAAATAAACAAATAATAAATATAAATACCATATATGATGTAAAAGTGAGTAGAGTTCTATGTTTTCCTGCAATAAGCTCTGGATCATCTAACAAATTTGGATTATACTGCACGGATTGTTCGTCCCAATCATAAACTAAATAAATTATTTACAAAACAATTAGAAATTTTAATTAGAAATCGTTCGTTTTTAATATCAAATAGATCATATATTATTATATACATTTATTGATAGGATCAGCACCAAAAGACAATGGAGGAGATTCCGGAGCATTGTGTTGTAAACGATGTGTTGCCGTGTCGTATGAAAGACACCTGTAATAAATAATAATACAAAAATATTAATAATCTATCATGAGATTTATGTATTCTTATAAAATTACAAATATCTACTAACATGCATAGTAAAATATATAATGCAGATGGAAAAAATAATAATAACAGTGAACTACACTAAATAGCATGTGTGTAATACACACACACGCGCGCGCGCACAAACAACACACACACTCACAAAAGTATGGAGAATATATATACTTAGGAGAAAAAAAAAATAAAATAAAAGTAAAAATAAAAATAAAAATAAAAATAAAAAAGTATGGTAAAGCGTAATTGTCAATGGTTTTTGGATCCACTAATCCCTGTGCAAATAACGTGCAAATGGAAGAAAATATTAATGCGATAAGATATGTAAATGAATTAAGACTTATTTTTTCATTTTAAAATAATCAAATGGTTGTCATCATCATTAAATTATCCTGTAGCCGGTAATAAATATTTGATCGTTTTATTATTATCTAGGCTAGATATAAAATGAAAGTCCTTATATTCAATGTATGCTGATCCAAATATCCATAAATGTTTTTTTAAGTGTAAGCAATTATTTCGTTTTGTTAGATAAAAATATTCTATAATCGGCTAATCAAAACTCCAAAGTTCGACACGAGTGATCTTTGATTTTCTTATTTTGCAGTTATCGTTTTATAGTTTTAAAAGTTATATAGTTTTTAAATACTATGAAATAATATAAACTTAAAAACAAACATAAAATAAGATCCATAATAAGGTATCTTATACATATATATTTATAGTTAACACGTTCCGTGCTGTGTGGGATGTATGTGCCACACATTGAACTTTCCGTTCAAGCCATTTGGAATTCTTATTGTAAAAAGAATAAAATCACATGTTTATTAAAATAATTTCTTGAAAATTAAATTTATTGCTTTGTTGTCTTATGCATCTTAAACTCTACACTCTTTCCTTGATAATTATGGTCTTTGTATTATTGTATAGATTGTAAGGCATACATTAGAAGCAAAACTATTTAATCATAAAGCGTGGAGCATAGAGCCTAAACGGAAAGTGTCCAAAAATCAGATTGGCACGGAATGTGTTAAAGGTATAGTACTGTATTAATATTACGACTGGCCTACACCAAGCACATGTCGTGCAAAATAAACTAAATTTTACTAACAATCCTAGCTTGCTTTTTCCATAATTGTATTTTTATTTTATATATATATATATATACATATATATATATATATTTTTTTTTTCTTTTATTTTATTATTTTATTTTTTTTTTTTTTTTTTTTAAATAACTTTTACCATTTCGTGTGATCCAAGTTCCATGTTATAGTTTTTGTCCTGCAAAAAGATGATTTAGAAGCGACGTTATAGGATGTGATTATGTGTGAAATGTATCTTATATTATTATTAATTTAACATACCGACACGAAATTTATGAATAAAGATATTAGAAATAATTGTTAGTAGTGAGAAAAGGATAGATAAGGGGAAAATTATTTAACGCACGATATTAATAGAATAAAATAATTGATATACGAATGAAATTAGTGAACGATAATAATTCATTCTATGGCAACGTAATGTGCGTGCTAATACAAACGGAGGTAGATGCTTTGGACACATACTTGAGACATTCTTCTAAAAATAAAACTGCTTTATCTTTAAGAAATACCTTTGTACCGGGTGATGCTTGTTTGCTATAACGTGAGATAATTCTATTGTTTCACTCTCGGTCGAGCATAATTTTCTCTCTTTTTGAAATTGTCTCGATGGCACCAACAATCGTTCATAAGAAATTTCCTAAAAAAAAAAAAAGAAAAAAAAAAAAAAAAAAAAAAAAAAAGAAAAAAAAAGAGGGCATGTGTGGAGGTAAGTGGTGGATAATTACTACGAAAAATAAATCTCTTTTATATAAATAAATAAATAAAAAAAGAAACCTAGAATTGATTGTTAAAGTACCTGTCCGTCTTTAGCTCTTTCTATACCAAGAAGACCGAAAGGATCGATAGTGTCATTGATAGCGGACAGAGGTCTTTGCGATGAAACGTTTTTCCTTCTTCCTGTATCTCTCCTCAATTCGGACCTACGAATAATATGTAATACGAAGTATTATGATAAAACAGTGCAAAGGTTAAAGATGTTATTTCCCCTTCAAAGGTAATACGTTCGATCGATCTCCCATTACATATTTTTATTTATATATATATATATATATATATATATATATATATATATATATCTTTTTTGTTTATTTACCAGCTTGAACGACCCTTGTTGTAGGGAAGAGTCGAGAATATCAAAAACGGAACATATTTATCGGAAACCAAGACCAGCCTGTCGTCTCCAAATTTTTGTCTGTTAGCCGGTCGTTGTACCAATCGTATTGCTTTTGTGATCTCCGGTATATTATTGGTATTAACGTTTTGTTGCACGTTATTATTGCACGATGATTTTCCTTTTGCCTTAGACGACGTTGATTGCGACTTCGAACGAAGCGAACCGATGCTTTCGTTACTGCTATTGCATCGATGCTTTATATCTTCAGATAACGTCGATGTCTGATGACTTATCCGTTTCTTGTATTGCAACGAGCCAACGCGTCTTTCGAGCATGGAATAGTCGCTGCCAGTTGTTCCAGTGCTGCAGCATCAATCACGTAATTTTAACAGATATTATTGTTAACACAATGTTGGCCGTTCTCAGGAATATACTCGTATTTTTTGCGCATGCATGCAACTTACATAATTATCAAAGTATCAAATTCTTTAAATTATTATTACAATATAATTTTCTTTATATATATATAAATATCTCATATATATATATATATGTATATATATATATATATATATGTATATGTATATATATATATATATATATATATATTATATAATATATATAATATATATATTATATATTATATATTAATTATTAATTATATAATATATTATATATTATATATTAATTATTAATTATATAATATATTATATAATATATATTAATATAATATATATATATATATATATATATATATATATATATATATATATATATATTAGATATTTGCTTACTTTTGATATATTATCAATTTTCCTTAACTTTTAATATTTTAATAATAAAGATTTTAATTTGATTGTATGAACATAACCGTAATTAAACGCATTACTTTTTTGAATATAACATCCGGTTTCAACAATGTGTTAACTTCTATAATATTATTTCCGGTCAAGCAAAGGAACAGTGATTTTTCAATGACTTCACAATAAAAGTTTTTATTACAAATTCTCGATTGTTAATAAAAACGAATTATTTTGAAATTGTTTGTCGATAAATAAAATTATTCGGCAATAGTAATAAGATTTGAATATAGGTAATGACCTAATAGTTCTTTTTCCTTTTCTTTTCTTTTCTTTTTCTTTTTCTTCTTAAATGTATCATCGCGTTGTATAATACGATACGCGTGTAATGGAATTTGTAAATTATGTAAGACTTCGAGTGCATTATAAATGCCGTTAAGTTCTTCGATCGAGTATACAACAAACTTATATTTACAATAAACAATCGCATTTATAAATTAATATGATCGAAAAAATACATTGAAATTTATAACTTCGACTTTTTTATTGAAAATAAAAAAAAAGAAAAAAGAACGATGTACAATTAGTTATATTTTGATCAACTATTCTCAAAATACATATTTGATATAACTTTATTTTTATTTGTTAAAATTGATCGGCGAGTTTTATGAGAGATATGAGGAAAAATGATGATAATTGTTGAGTATCGTCAAAACCATCAGCTATCGACTGAAGATTACCATAGTCTGGATTAGATAATTGATGAAGATAGATGTATCTTATATAACGAGTTGGTGAAAAAAGTTTAAAGGGTGACATACGAGAGGAGGAGAGAGGAAGAGGAGAGAGAAGAATGAGGAAAAAAGAAGGGTTTTACCGTTCTCTAAAGGAACCGGTGTGCAATCCGGAAGAGGGTAAATGCGGATAGTTTCTCTCTTGTTCGAGAAATGCAGCCACAGCCGCCTTAGCGGGAATGAGAGATTCGTCCGAACCAATCGAATCCCTGTGTCTCGCACTGTTCGCACGATGAATTTGTTTATGCGAATCGCGAGGCGAGGATGAGGAATCAGCACCAGAAGGATATTCTCGTCGTTGACTTTGTTTTTCATCTTGATCGATAGTCGTCGAACTGTCAAGAGCAATACGCCTCGATGACAATAATAAAGGCGAACTAGTTTCCTCGAACGAATCCTCAAATTCAAATCTCGGTGTCGAGCTTCGTCGGCGGGCTTCGCCGCCGTCGCTCAAAGTTCGCGCGTGTTCCCCACCACCCCTTCTTTCTCCTGCGATTCCAGCAGCCCCACCAAAGGTGGGCTTGCGCGAAAGGAGAGCCAGTTTCGTATCACGATGACTTCCATCGAGAGATATGTTCGAGAGGAATGTCAAGGCGGCCAATCTTCTCCGCGAATGGTTTTTTTTCAGGGCCGCTGCCATTCCACGCGATCGTCGACACCCGCGTCACCGTCCTTCGTTTTCTCTTTTTCTTCTACCACTATCGTATTTTTCTCGTCTCCTACTGCTACTGCTGCTGTTGCTGTTGTTATTGTTGTTGTTGCTGCTGCTGCTGCTACTACTGCTATTACTATTACTATTACTAATACTAATGTTGCTGTCGCTCCTCTTCCCCCCTTTCCCCTTCTCTTCCTCTGCCAACTCTTCTTCGTCGACCGTTGCACCGCTGTTAAAACGAAAACGGCGGCGACAGCGACGAAAGGCTGACGACGATGACGACGACGACGACGATTGTTGGAGTGGACAAGGCCAACCACTAAGATCACGATTCATCGTCATTGTTCTTACACTTAGTTCTGACCTCACACCTTGACGATACGTTCTTTGTATTCATGTACATTCGCACGTCGATCTCACTCTTCATTTTGACTTCGTTATCACTCATAAAGATCGCGAAATAACACTCTCTTTTCTCTAACCTCAAAAACGTTCAAAAATTTCTATCGAGATCTACGGAACACTCCAGTTTCACGAGAAGTCGAAGAACAACTGATTTGCAACTGATCTGGAACTGATCGAAAAAACGGATTTCCTTTGGTTCACGACCTTGTCGATAGAGCGCGTTACGATCTGCACACAAAACACAAATCAACGATAGCAATTTTATTAGCGTTCGATCATTTTTAGATAGTTATTTAATTAATTTTTTTTTATTATTAACTATGACTTTTTCCGTATTATAATTCTAATTACGATATTTTCCATCGATTTTTAAAATTAATTTGAAGATACAATGACGTGATCGTTCTAATTATGATTTTTCTTAAATTTTATAGAACACATTAATTTTTTTATAGAACATAACACATCGATTATAAAAATCATAGTTTAAAAATAATATTTTTTTAAATAGTATTAGTTATATATTTATAAATATAATGGGACAATAAATCATATATATATATATATATATGATTTATTTTATCATTACATATGTATAATCGATTATCATTACTGCGATTAACATTAATCAAATTATGTGAAGAATTAACGGCTGCAGATGTTTTGATAAAAGCATGACAGTGATCTGTTAAACTCTTTGATGTCAATACAAAGGCTATGTTTATCTTTACATTCTTACTAACTTTTCTTATTCTATCCCGTGGTAAAATTCGTCGGAGTAATGATATACTCGGGAACGATGGGGATCAATTCCCTACTGTATCACAAGAAACATATCAGTTATCGAATTATGATATAACCTTTTGGATTCGACCTTTACAAGTAGAGTATTATGCTTTTTTAGAGAACAGAGAAAGTTTTTATACTGTAAGAAATTAATTTAAATTATCTGGAATATTTAAAATACTAAAGAAGTTTAGTTTAATTCTATATTTGTTTCATTATTTAGGTTTTTGTAGAGTTAAATGATTCACCATTTATAATAAAGATCATTGATAGTTATTACGTGATAAAATTATTTTTCGAATTATACAATTGTTCGATTTTAAATTTTGAGAATTTATGTTCATTGGAATTAAGAAAATTCAGAAAATCTAACTGTATATTCACAGAGGGTACAACATATACAACTAAGACAAATTTAGAAGGCCATCAAAAATGGTGCAACATAACATTACTAAATATAAAAACTCCTGTTTTTAATTATTGCATGATAATTGCAGATGACCAGCGATTGCAAAGACCAGAGGGTATTAATAGTTATTAAAAGTATTTACTACTTCTTGAAGGATTGTGCTTCATTTATTAAAACCGATGTATTATTTTAGAATTTCCTTTATATTTCAACGATTTATTACTAAAATCTTTTCGTATTCCTGGCAATGTCCACAAAATTGTCCGATGTTTTATCATAATGATAAATGGTATTCGTACTACAAGATGTGATGTTAATTGCCATCGAAAACAACTGGTATACTGTTTTATGGATGTCAAACAAAAGACATAAAATTTCAAGCGAGAGAAAAAAATAAAAATAAAGCTTTAATTCTAGTTTTGCAAAGATATAGGACTTTGGACATTTATGATGCCTGTTGTTACTTCAAATTCATTTTTTCGGTTACCTCCAAATTATAATAACACCTGTGGAAAAGGACTAGTATTGATAGTATCTTTATGTTACAATCAAATAACGTAAATAGAATTTAGTTAACATAAAAATAATCATCCTTTAAGTTTTCTGTTTTTCTTTTTTTATTTTATTTCTTTTTTTATAGAGAAAAAAATACTATAAATTATATTGATCCAGGATTATTTTAGTGAGTTTGTCTTTTATAAAAATATTTTTTATAAATTCGACAATCTCGAGAACTTAACGATTCTATCTGTTCTAGCTGCCCAATAAGTTTCATGAAATATATCTGTAAACTTGCATCTAACAATAATGTCACGACAATAGTACGTTTTACAGAATATCTTCCCATTGATGACTATATTCAAAAAAATATATGTATATACATTTTCGAAGAAGAATTGAGCGACCATAACCAGAAAAGCAATGAAGTTTATTATAATAATGATTTTAAAGGTACTTAATAACAATACTAGTGTACCATTTGTAAATAATAAAATATCTGGAATTAATAAAATTTGACAAAATTATTTTCTAAAGAAGAGATCCTATTAGTAACTCCAAAATATATAAAATCTATGAAATCGTTGCGTCGTCACCTTCTGCAAAACATAGATCATGGATATGGATATGGAAATATGGATTATAGTGCACAAGGAGACAAATTTGCTTATCAGGGATATGCGAGACATAAAGATTCAATCATGAATGAAAACAAAGATGAAAATGATGATGATGATGATGATGATGATGACGATGAAGAGGATGAAGACTATGAGATTAGCGACGAACCTGCACCGGAAGATGAGAACGATAATGCTGAAGAGGAGGAAGAGGACGACGAGGTTACCGACACGGAGTCAACCGTCGAATACCATGATTATGGTTAGTATTTACTTGTTTCTTTCCTGGTTTTTCTAGTTTGGACATCAAAGCATTGGACCAAAGGCTCATCTGGGAAGTTTCAATCGTGTCATATTCCCTTACGTGAGTAAGAAGCAGAAACAACATTTGAGAAAAGAAAATATCAGAGTCAGATCTGTTACTGTTACTGAAGAGTGTGATGAGGAAGAACCTACAGAAGCACTGCAATATTATGATTACGGTGAGGGAACGTAGAGAGAGAAAAATAAAAAGTTTAAAATCCTACGTTCCTTACCTTCATATTAATTGGATAAGTACAGTTCTTTAAAATTCTAGAATATATTTTTTAAATGTAGCATGTAAATCACATTTTCATTTAATATTATACAAGTAAATAGTTAATATAAGTAAAATTTTTCTTTCAGACACAAATGGAGTTGACATATCATTTGGAAATATACACAACACACAAATTGATCACTTTATAAAATTGATAATAATAAACCTTATACTTTTATTTATTAATTTTTGACATAACTACGTAAAAAATGATAAAAATTTTAGAATTTTGTTTTATTTAAAAAACATCCTCTGTTACTTTATTATCTTATTATATCAATTTCTTGCAAAAACATACAGTGCATTTTCTATAAAATAAAGCTATAATTAGTATGCACAAAATTCAATTAATACAACTAATGAATTAAAACTAAATTTGATCGATGTAATATTTATTTCATTACGTAAATAAATTTACCTATATATTAAAAAAAAAATTAATTTAGTAACAATTTGCGATTTTAATATAATGAATCTAAAATAATATATTTTCCTGCCGATTGTTAAAATATCGATAGGAACATCATATTTTTATGTGATTCTGCATATTTAAAATTGAAAAAGAAGTCTCGAATTTGATATCAAATGTTTGCAGAAGTTCGTCGGATTTTTAAATATATTTATTTAATTAAAAGTAACAAAAAACATACAGATACAATCATTTTAATCAAAATATTTATCATCACTTTCCACACAATTGTAATTGTCTGTCAGATAATTATTAAAAAATGATACATCTCTTTTGAATGAATGAAATTATTGACTTATCTTTGGACATTTTTCTTGGCATTAGCAAAATGTGTACTAGATAAGCCACGTTGCACCGATTTGAATAAATGAAAATCAAATGGGACAATATTTGGGAGTAAGTAAGATGGAAGAATTTTTCACTCTAATTCTGATAATAACAGCCAAATCTCAATATCAGATCTGACTTTATCGTGGAATAAGATAATTTCACATCAATTTATACTTACGAAGAATTTTAGCGTAATAATCAAGGCGTTTTTGGCTAGTTACTTTTTTTGATAATTTGCGAATTAATGCATACTATGTATACAATTTTAAATTGATTATTGATATCACGAAAATATAAGTTAAAAACGATATTAAAAATTTTGTTATTGTCTAGTCTGCTGATTTAGTTAATTGTTAATTAAAGTTAATGGCACTTATATTAATCAAAATGGTCTATGGTTATTTTTTCTTAGATTAGGTAAATTAAACATATCTATTTTATATCTTTATTAAAAATTTCTACTGTATATCTTTATATCTGTATACCATTATATATACTGTATATCTTTATATAAAATTTCACCAGAATTATTATAAAATCTAGGGATTTTTTCGAAAAACGCTGATTTTGTCTATAAGAGAGGAGGAAAATAGTTATAAATTTACTTATTCTGGACTAACTCCTGGGGGGATAACAATCCTTTAAAAATTTTAAATGGCGACATGGATCAAGTGACGTATCATTACAAAGATCTTTTAATTCTTTTTATAATGGTACTATTTTTTTACATTTTGAATCACTAGTTTATGAGAAAATGCATTTTGAAGTTTCAGCTGGAAGACAAATTATTTTTTATTAAATATTCAGAATATGTATAGTCGACCTCCTCCATGCGATAATAAAATCTTTGCTCGAATAAATTAAATTAAATATTTTGCAGTATATTCAGTATAATCTGACGGTCTTTTTCGACTATGTGCTATTCAAGTTCTCCTAATGAAGTTAGTTAGATGGCGCATATTATGAATTGTAAATATTTCCATAGAAGAAAAAATAAAAGAGTGTAAATGATTGGAAAAATGCTAGTTTAAAAATTACCGTGTTGGAGTTGTACGTTGTGTGGACGAGCTCTACATTGTGTTGAAAAAAACGCTTTTTATTTTGAATGAAATGTAATTTCGAATGAAATCTGTGAACAATAAATCTAGTTCTTAAATAAATCAAAGTATGATTCTTCGGTCAAATTATTTGATAAATTAATAATCTTGTTAACCGAACAATTAATTTTATTAACCGAGATACCATCCTATACATTCAACGAAATACATCGAATCCATTCTAGAATTTTCTACGTACCATTGAAAAAAGATTTTATTATGGCGATCGGCGATACACATTTTGAATATTTAATAAAATTGAAGACACTGCGAACGAAATAATTTATTGCATATTATGTACTTTATCGATATATCGATTGATTATATAATAATGGATCGTCACAACAACATCAATTGGAAACGGTCATAGTTTAAGCGTGATGAACCAACCATATTGAAAGGTAAATTGCATCAAAAAAAGATCATATTGTCAAATTAGTAGGATTACAAAGGTGTTATGTATTTTGAGCTGCTTTCAAAAACCAAACGATTAATTCATATGTTCCTTGTCAACAACTAATGAAACTAGAGGAAACAATCAAAGAAAAAAGGCCAGAATTGGCAAATCACAAAAGAATCTTATTCCATCAAGATAATACAGGGTCTCAAACATCTCACACTCGTGGAAGTGATGTCGCATCCCCCATATAACTCTGATTATTTATTTTAAAGTTTGTAAAATTCTTTGAATGGTGAAATTTTCAATAATAATGATGATTTGAAATCACACTTGGTTCAGTTTAGTTAAAAAGAAGATCTATGAGCGCAAGATCATGAAGTTGCCAGAAAGATGGCAAAAGGTCATTGGACAAAAAATACATAATTGATTAAAGTTCATTTTTTGTATAAAAAAAAAGGGAGTTTTCATTATATATTGATAAATCTAAGGATAAATCTAAGTGAAAAAAGAAGCTTCTCTACTAAAAAATTTATAGTTTTCCTTACTTAAAATTGATTGTGCTTAAAATTATATTGACTTTATTTACAGCATCAATCTACAACACATTCTGGTTTTTTCTTCTGTAACCCTATCTGATAATTTCCTTGCCCAATTTCAATCATCTTAGTTTTAACATCTAAACATCTTTTTCTCATTTCATATCATTGCCAATAAATTCTGTTTAAAAATTATTTAAAATAACATCTGCCTTTATATAATAACAAGCTTTCATGAATTCACATATTTTCATACGGTTGCAAGAAGATTTTGAGTTCGTCTATCATTCATCTCATACATACTGATATCTTGACATTTTTCAAAAAAATTATTATCATAATAATTCTGGTAGACATTTTTTATTGGGACACTGTATAAATATTTGGTGTCCTTTTTAATGATAAAAAAATAATTACTAGAAACACGTATTTAAAACTTACAATTATAAGTAAATTTTGAAGTTATTTATAAATTCATGAATTTATAATATTTATGAATATTTATGAATTCATGTTTTGATATTTATTAAAAATAATATAGAATATATATATTCACTAATTGTTAATTTTGAAAAAATAATCGATAAATGTATATACTTTATATGCATTTGTCATCGAACAAAATTATACTGCTGCTGTGTCCCATCTAGCACAGATTACCGTGAAATTCACGTCAGCCATCACTGGAGGAAATAAATATAAAAGATTGGATAGTAATCCCTTACTAAATTATCAAATAAGAAGAAAAGAGTAAATTAGTTCATTACTTTTTTTATATCGATACGATAAAAAAAAATCACCGGAATCTTGTTAGCCTTGAAACACCTAGAATTCCTAAACTACGAATTTGGACGCTTGTTAATCTACTACGTATTACTTACAGAATCTTTCTTCTTAGTTTATAAAGTCTAAAAAAAAACTACAAATTTTTCAAAAATTTAACAATATTTTAAACTCATATTCCTTGATATAAACGATTGGACACGTATTTACTTATTTTTGCGATAAAATCATGTGACCAAAGCTCATTAAAATGATTGAGTGAGCTTCTCCGTGCGAGCATCATGAAATCCATTTCTTTGTATATGAAAATATTTCAAAAATTTGACCATCAACTATTTACGCACGAACCAAGCAAATAATCGCTACTTCACGGATATAAAACATGCACTATTTAAATGTATATAAATTAGTAATGGAGGTTTGAGCTTCATCTTTTTTGCTGCAAATTTCGCCACAATACTAAAAATGTTCTTCGCAAAAAATATCGAAAATAGCATTTACACCATCAGGGAGAACAGATGTAATTCTCAACCAATTTTGATGAACAACGTTTCATTTTAAAGACGGAAGTTTAATCTACGACACCCTTTCGGTGATCTTTTGCAAAAGCTTTTTATTTGTACATAAGCTATTCTTGAAAAATACCATTTTTTAGCACGATTTTTTTTTCGAATAAAATAAAGCTTTTTGAAAAATTTTCTGGAAGGGCGTCGTAGATTAAACCTTCGTTTTTAAAATGAAACCTTATTCGTTAAAATCAATCAAGAATTACGCCTATTGATGACGTAAACCATTAAAAAACCAAGGTTGGTAAACACCCTTAAGTTATTTGTGAAAGGAAATAGAAATATAAAAATGTAAAAAAATAAAAATTTTTTTTAAATGAGAAAAAGAAGATAAAAACAATTTTGAAATCCCCCTAGAGGTACTAACCGCTTGCTTCTTTTTTATTAATTTTTTTTAATACATTTATTTACTGTCAGGGTCAAAAAGTATTTTATATTAATTTACAAACATAATAAAATAAGATCGTTAACGAAACAAAAAATAATAACTTAGGCTAATGGTTCTGAAATGAGCGCTTGTAGACTTAGGAATAGGAATTGTATAGTACTTACAATTCACATATATGTAGATATTAACCCTTTTCGGATGTATCCGGCAACTATCTGATGACCTATGTGGACGAGCGCCAGATACATCTGGCATCCATGTAACAGTCCATGGTTTTTTCGGAAATTTTTTTTTCATCTAATTCATATTTATGTATGGAACGCGTATTCCCTTTATAAACATGAAAAGAATGAAACCATATCCATGGCGAAGTTTCAGTTGCACTTGATAAAACAAATAATTGATAAATATCATAATGATTATATCAATCATCAAAGAAGAAAAACTGATTATCCGATGAGACTAACAGAGAGACATTTTCCATCATTGTATATATCAAACGGAAAGAACCGGAGCTGAAGGTGTGTAGTTTACAGTAAAAATAACAAAAGATCGGAATCAAGATATAAATGCAAAGATTGCAGTGTTGGTTTATGTGTAGATCTATGTTTTAAAATATATCACACCCAATTATATTATTAGGCGTTATATGTATAACCATATATTAACTAAAAATAAATAAAGAGTAATTGTTGTGTAATATAAATTGTTGTGTAACATAATATAAAATGTATAATTTTGTATATAATCTCGTATATAATTTTGTAATCTGTATTTAATTTTGTATATAACTCTGTGTAGAATTTTATATATATATCTTTTAATATTAAAGCTACAAACAATACTTGTTGGAAAAAACATTGTGTTATTAAGCACAGTTCTTATTTAATGCTTAAGAAAATCTTCATACAAAAAAGGACTGATTATATGCTATGTGCGCATTTTCGGCGCGACACCCGGTTCAGCGGGAGTGTGACGGCGGACATCGCGCTCGTCCGAAAGGGTAAAGACTAATTATCTTTGGCTATATCTAATCACAGTAAAACACAGAAAAGCAATCCTGGAAATTGTATTAATGGTGTTAGTTGATTTTTGTTTTTAGGTGTAGTTTAAAATTTTTATATATATTTAGCTTTAGATTATATATTTATGAATGGATATATGTACGTGCGCCCATTCGCATATATATTTCAAACATATATTTGTAGCATATTTACATATATGCACATATTACATGCATACTTATGCACACCCATACTTATTTACACATCACACATTATGCGTACGTATACATGCATAACTATGTACACACACATATTTTTATATATCTAGCTGTGAATTTAGTTCAATTTACATAAGTATTTATTTAAAAAAGAAAAAGTAGAAGTGAATACAAAATATGAAACTAATAAAAAATAAGCAATAATAAGATATAAAAATAAAATATAATAATAAAATATAAAAATAAAAAAGAAATAATAAAAAAATTATTTCCTCCCCGGCGGGGAATCGAACCCCGGTCTCCCGCGTGACAGGCGGGGATACTAACCACTATACTACCGAGGATGTTTACATCTTTGTAGAATCATTTATAATATATAAATACATTAAATATAATAACTATTATACTATTTTTTTTTGGTTATATAGTAAATATAAAATAATATATAATAATAGTTTTTCTACATTTTCACAATGTTATTTTGTGAACATAGGAGTGACAATTTTGATCCTGTTTTATTTGCTTATTTATAAGAAAGAATAGATAACCCGAAAATTCAAAAAAGGGGATGCAAGTGAAGTATGTAACTACTCTATATTTTTGCATTATAATTCGGTTTTAAAGGAATTCGATTTTAGAAAATTATACTTTAAGAAAAATTTGAAATTACAATTTTTTGTAAAATATCTCAATAACAATGAAAGATACATAAAAATAGTTTAAACAAAAATTATATTGTTTTATTGTATCTGCTAAACGGCGTAAAGAAAATGTTTGAAAAGTTCATGATTTGTGAGCGACCCTTCCTTTCCACCATCATTTCTTAACAAAATTTATTTTAGTATACATTGTCTTCTTTTTATAGCTTATATTTTTAAGTCAACGACTTATGAATATAATTTTTTTTTCATTTAAATAAACTAATTATTTTGAAATATGACGTCCATATTAGCTGTTTTCTTTAATAAACTCGTTTCAAGAAGCAATTTTTGAATAATTCGCGTTTATTTTATTTATTTATATGAAAATTATTAATATTAAATTTCATATAACAGTGTAACAGTTTTTATTAATAAATAATTAATAAAAATTAAAATAATTAAATAATTAAATAAAAATATTATAATAATTTATAAATAAATGAATACATAAGAGTTTTTATTCTTATTTTGTATATTTTTACATATTGAAGTGTTTGCTAAATAGCTAACAAGAAAAATAGTGGAAATCACGATTTGTAATTGGTACAATAATGGTAATCTTCATAGAAATGTTTGAAACAAAGATATTCACCACACCACGCTCATCACATAAATGCCAACACGCCAATATTATACTACATTTTAATAGAGCCCATTCATTCTTAAAGTAGGATTTTGAAACTTGTTGAAATGCATTTTAAACAAAGTTTATTGAAAAAGATTTTTGAATTTGAGCGAAGAAAGTTAGCTATGAGTTAATGATTACAGTCTAATTGCAATTTAATTTCATTGCGTGAATGCAGTTTGATATCTTCCTCCGCACCAAATTTTTTGCGTGCATATAAAGTTTGAATGCCCGTCATTTTTCTTGAATGATTGAAAATGTTACTTTTTTGTTTTCTGAAATTAACTAATTTAACTGATTTTTACAGTATTCCGACCACGAATTGAGTAGTAGCATGCTTTTACAGTCGGTATTAGGTAGATATATTTAGCTAAACCAAGTTTTAAAATGTTATGTTTTGAATCTTGCGTGATATAATTCTATGCACGTTTTTGAATTTCCAAATCCATCATTTATTTAATTTAAATTCAAGTAGGTATTCCACCAGGTTTTTTATCTTTAAACTTATGTAACTGCTGCATGGATTTAACCTACCGACAATTTTTCTGTACAACGATAAGCGAGGAACATTTTTTCCACTTTTCCAGAATTCCACAACTTTCTTGTCATAATTTAAATTGACTTTTCTATCTACGTCATTAACAATACACTTTTCAGAGTCAAAAATATCTTCTTCTTCTTCTGTAGATATGATGTAATCTACAATTTGAGCGTTATGTGATTTTTATGAATCAGTAAATTCAAGCACATAATCATGTTCAATTGATGATATGAAATTAATGGTGTGAAATACGTATTTTAAAAATTAGTTATTAGATCACAAATTTCACAATTTCTATCGATTTTATTGGTGTCTACATTATATTCACGATTTGAAAAGTAGGGGATAACATGTTTATTATATTAGCAACATTAATCGAAATGATTTTAAAGTAATGAGCACTGATTTTTTCTAATAGAATGACATCATGTACACTGCTGTAAATGCAACTGACAATAAGCTACATCCAAAGAAACATTTAGAATAAGTGTAGAAAGTATTCGTACACTGATCAATTTGAATTAATACTTCGTGAAATTGTGATTTATAAACTAATTTTTTATAAACAATGATATGTATTATATTTTCGTAAATCTCTACAGTAGATATAATAAAAAAAATTAGTTGTTTGTAGAATTTACAAAATTAGAAAGAAAAAGAACAAGAAATATGAAAGCAATAAGTATTCATACAATTCTTATTTCGAGGTGTTTACAAGTGGAGTTTATAACGTGAACACATTACGTTATTACTTCCTATTTATAATTGATCTCGATAATCTGTTTCAAAACGTTATTAACATTAGCAGAGTTCAAAACTTTGCATTATTAAAAATTATTATTGTTAAATGTATTATTACTGTAAAAATAAATTATTACCATAAAGAACAAAGGAAACTGACAGAAATATGAAAGAAAGAAAAATCGTGACCAATGAGATTTAATTATTAATTAAAGAGATCTCTCATTCTGGGTCCTTTGGATTTCCAGCGGATATAAAAATGCTCTTGTATAGAAACTAGGATAGATTGGTTATGATTGGATTATCATGAATCTAACGTACTTTTATCATTTTCATATCATATTTATTGTTATAATCGTCGATTTCGCGTTGCTTTCACATTGTACTATTGATTCGTGTTTTTGGAAATTGTTGCCATCTTAGTAAATGAAATTTTCTATTGCATATCTTTCGTGAACAATTTTTTACCTGAACTGTATAACGAAAAATACATCCTGTTTTTGTAAGAGTAGAAATCTTTCGAAACTCCTACCTTCCTCATCCTTGGTTGAATTGCGTAGAAGCTGTAACTCAAAAGAGGATCTTAGTTAAGAGTGAATTTTAACTTGTTGCGTCTCGAAATTATCCCACCATATAAAATCATCTTTCTATTCGATTATTTCCTCTTTCATTGTTAAAATCCGTGACTCGACTGGTCAGAACATAAGGCTGGCAAACACTTACGACAAACGTTACTCGTTACACACTATTCTTTGCCTCATCTGTAGACAGAAATAAAGAATAATACGGATTCACTTTACGTTTAGCCAAGTTTTTCTTTCTATTCGTCTTAGAATTTTGACGTCTTGGTAAAAATTTTGAGATTACTAAAGGCTTCAGAATTCAAAACGTATTATTCGAAAAGTCATAACACACCTTTTTTTTATTAAATCGTTTAACCACTCGACGCCAGCGTTCCTGAAAGACGAAACTGAGATATGCAGAATTAAATCCTTCCTTTAGTAGAATACATTAAATCATCTAATACTGACAGTAACCAGATATTTTGTGTGGTAAGATACGTGTTACAACGATGATGTCTGTGGAATAATCCAAGGATAGGATAAGCACGTGTCTGTTTTCTTTCATAGAGCGGGGCAAGGGAAAGAGTGGGCATGGAAAATTCGAACTAAAAACGTGAATTGTATATCAGAAGAAGAAACTCTATCAACTTAGATAAGTATGTCTGAGAATTTTTCTGGATGAACGTTTTCACCGCCGTCAGCATTGTATGTAGAAGCAGAGCATCAAATAAAATCCGACATCCTGACAACTGAACAATCCCATTTCAGTCATTGAGAGTTGATGTAAATCTTAATCAGTCCAGCTAGTCAGTCTTAAACGAGCAATTTTAGCAATTATTTTTTCTCTCTCAAACAACTTAGAGTGAATTATAGGAGTATGACAATGAGTATTAGAAATGAAATAAAATTTGTAAAGACGTGCCAGCGAAAAATTTAAATTGCTTTAATTCATCTATCGTAAGTAAAATCGAGAATACGTTTTGTTATTATATTACAAAAATTGCCTCGTTTTCGACTTCGGGGCACGTTATCGACACGAGTCTCAATAAATCCATTTCCTCTCATTTCTCCCTCGAATCCTTTGATTCGTGACACGAACTCCTTCATTCTATCTTTGAATCGCTCATCAATACTCATAGACTTGTAGGCATAAATAATCAATTTTCACAAATTTGTATTCTATTAATTTAAGAGCCGCCCACGATAAACGTTGAAGTAACGTGACCAAAATAGGCCGTTTTAACCCTCGTACCTTTCGAAGTAAATAAATTTTAGCAAGTCTCTGACCCTGCACGTGACAGATTCATATTTTACAAAATAAGATATTGACGTATAATAATCATGCTCATATGTTTAAAAGTGTTACAAGCTAATGATATTACTTTCCTCATCTCACTATGATTATTTGTAAGTAAACGAAAAATGAAGAGGATTCGTTATATTTATTATATAAATAAATACGACAGAATAATAAACAATTGATTAAGAATTTTGATCCTTATAAGTCTGTATAAAAATATCTTGTTCTTTATTCTAGTTTATCGTTAAATGAAAAGAATAGAAAATAATAAAAATATAATTGAGAATTAGACAATGAGCTTATTGAAATTTAAAAACTTTAGAAGCTTAAGGTAAATTTTGTTGTGTCAATATATTATATTAGATATTCAGAGATCATATACATATTATGTCTTTTTCTTTTCTATTTTTGTTTACGAGAGTTTTTTTTATTTATTTTGTATCGATTTAGACTAATTATGCTCTGTATCATCTTTACATACACATATAAAGAATATAAAGGTTTATATAAGACCTAAAAAAAAGTAATTTAAAAAAATTAAAATCACTTTTGAAAAAAAAAGGAAATAATTACATTAACAGTTAACGATAAATGAAAAAAATATAGAAAATTTATAATCTATGTAAGTACTAATATTTTATTTAAGTACCAATATTAATATATAAGTATAGAATATTTTAACGTATATATATTTATTTAATTAAAAAAACAAATTATTTTAAATCTTAAATAATCAATTTGACAATAGCATATAAACTAATAAAATAAACCAATCGTTGCTTACCATCGATCCATTTAAATACAACAAACAATAAAAGAATATTAATATAATTGTACGGTATTATTTTCAATGTAGTATTACTATAAATAATATTATTTATGATCCGTATTGATAGTCGAGGTTGTCACGAGAACGCACGAAGGATCCTAAATATTTTTTTTTATATGTATATATTTAAATTTATATATTTTTGTTTAGAATAAAATAAATGAAAAGGACTTTTGAATTATTATTATAATTAAATTAAATTAAATATAATTATAGGAATAGAAATATATAATTGTATACATTGGCAGCAGAAATATCGCATAATTATTATCTATTTTTCATTCAACGAAATTTCATTTTTCATCTGCTTTTTTAATTCTCCGTATCTTACAGTGAAAGATGGTGAATGTATTCTATCAAAAAGACGTAACTCACATTACAAACGCACTGGATATATATATATATATGTATATATATATAACCGGTAGCTACTTCTGGAAATCGTAGGGTGACATCAAGCGGTAATTCTTAAAAGTTCGAGGCGTACTCGATTGATAGAATACGATAGTAACAAGTTATTACATAAAAAATCTGATTATAAAAAGAACGGAATTTTTAAAAACTGTTAAAAATAAAAGTATTTTGTTAATTTTATAATTTAATTCGTCGAGAAAAGTGTTTATTTCACCAATAGAAATTCACGGTTGAAACTTTAATCTATTGCTGTTGGCACTTGACACTGATATTAGAATTATAACGGAAACGTCACTTCTTCGAGACTTGATATATGAATTTGTAATACGATGGAATGAAAATATGTATTTACAAAATACATTTTCTATTACATATTTTTGTTTCTATTTATATATTAAATAATATATAATAAGATAGAATAAAAATGTAAAACAGACTAAATTAAACAATTATAATAGAATATAAAAGTAATTAATAAGAATAATTGTATTGTAAAATTTATTAAATGCATTATCATAGATATATATGAATAACACTTTCACTTTGAAAAATATACCTTATAATTATATTAATATGTTTTTATGTAATAAATTTTATATATGTATTTTTTATAATATCCCAAAAATATATAATAATTTTTTAGATTTTAGACAAAAAATACTACGATGTCAATTTTCTAATTAATGGTTACATTTTTATATTGATACAATGTGTGGAATATTTTGTTGTATTTCTCAACATTCAGAAGAAAGTGTCAAACATTCTAATGAGGTAAAGATCTTTATTTTTTAAATGACAATTAGTTTTTATTTCTTTTACTGTTGTATCAGTGTATATTACTACGTCAGTATATCAACAATTTTTCCAGTTTTTTCTTAATATCAATACTTTTATTTTTATATTAATATTTTTCTATGTCATTTTTATTTTTTAGTGGGATGGATGCAAAAATCTTATAACTTCTAGAGGTCCAGATAAGTTAGTTAAGCACTTTATAACGTTAACTGATACATGGTGCGGACATTTCGCAGCAAGTATATTGTGGATGCAAGGTTTGAAGTTAGTAGAGCAACCGCTAATTGATTCAAATGGTAACATTCTTCTGTGGAACGGAGATGTTTTATCTGGATCTTTGGTAAATGTTTTAGTAATTCTTTATTTCTCAATAAAGTTGTACTCATATTAATTAAAACGTTACATGAAATTATAGGCAAAAGATGATACATGTGATAGTATTACTATTTTAAATGCGTTCAGTACATCTCCTAATATTACAAATATACTTCAGTATATCCAAGGACCATATAGTTTCATATATTTTCAAAAATCTAACAAATTATTATATTTTGGAAGAGATATTATTGGAAGACACAGTTTACTTCTACAGTTAAATAATGAAAAAAACGTATTAACTATAACATCTGTTGGTGCTAAATGTTTTAAAAATATAATGGAAGTTCCTGCAATTGGTATATTTGCAATAAATTTATCTGATATGAACATAAATCTTACTTGTTATCCATGGAAAGAACCAGACTTTATATTTGGAAATACCATTGAAGAATTGAGAAATGCTTTAAATGTAAATATTAATATCAAAGAGACAATAGCAGAACAAAATCTGTCTAACAAGATAGTAATGCATTTACATCCAACTATTGAAGATTTAGATTATTTAGTAAATAATCCTTATGTAGAAGACTTTAATAAAATGATAGAGCATTTATTGAAAAATGAAATTGTCTTTAGAAGAGTAGAATATTTATCTAAACTTTTACATAAAGCAGTTGAAGTACGAATAAAAAAAAAACCGAATTTCTGCAAGAATTGTATCCTACTTGTATTGAAAGGAGAAAATATTATTTGCGATCATGCAAAAATAGGTATATTATTTTCTGGTGGACTTGATTCAGCTATTTTGACATTAATTGCTCATAAATATGTATCACAAAATGAACCTATTGATCTGATAAATGTTGCTTTTGAGAAAATTGTTAATACAACTCAAAAAAATAAGCACATTAAAAATACAAATTTACATATCTCAAAAATATATGATGTTCCAGATAGAAAAACAGGAAGACAAACTCTCTCTGAAATATTACAAATTTGTCCGAATAGAAAATGGAATCTTGTTGAAGTATGATATAAAATTTATTATCATTTAAGTAAAAATGATAAATATATATTACCAATACTATTATTATTTCAGGTAGATGTAACACAACCAGAATTACAAAAATATCGATCTTCTCGTATCAATGATTTACTTTATCCTCTCTGTACTATCTTAGATGAAAGTTTAGGTTGTGCTATGTGGTTTGCAAGTCGAGCACAAGGCATAATTACAAAAACGAATATAGAGTATGAGTCTCCATGTCGTGTACTTCTCCTAGGTATAGGTGCAGATGAATTATTTGGTGGATACATGAGACATAGAAAAATATTGAAACATAAAGGCTGGAATGCTTTAAAACAAGAGTTGGATATTGAATTAGCCAAAATTTCTCAAAGAAATTTAGGAAGAGATGATAGAATAGTTTCTGATCATGGTAGGCAATCCAGATTACCATATCTTGATGAAAATGTAGTAGAATATGTTCAACAATTGCAACCATGGGAAAGGTATTAAAACCAAAAAAGAAGTATTAGTCAATTTTTTTTAGTAACTTATTTTTTAAATATTTGTTTTGTTTTCTACAGATGTTATCCAACAGAAAAAATGCCATCTGGTTTAGGAGATAAATTACTCTTACGTTTATTAGCACGTAATCTAGGTCTTCAAAATACTGCTACTTTTCCTAAAAGAGCTTTTCAATTTGGATCTCGAATAGCTAATAGTAAAGAAAATGCTAAAGATATTTCTAAACGATTGTAAAATGGACATAAGATAATTAAGTTAAAACGAATATATTTTTATAACATCATGAAATAAATTAGATGAATAAATATAAAGCAATAATAAAGACTATATCCTTTATTACAAAAAATTTTGTATATTTACTAATTGTCATTAATGCATTGATTGGGTAGTAATCTTGTATAAATCATTACATTTATCTGGTATTTCTCATAACTTTTCATAGATCAAAGATACAGAAGAATTCATTATTATACTTTTTATATTAGATTTTATTTTTGTTAGATAATAAAATTTTAGTTTCCTAAATGTTCTAAAAAAAATGTCTTAGTCATATAAATAAATGTCAAGCCTAAATGTTATAAATAAAGTCCACAAAATTATTTACAGTGACAAATCAATGAGTAAGAAAGAAACAATTTTTAATCACCCGGCACATCATCACAATCAGTCAAAGTGGAAAGAATACAACGTAATTTGTTAACCATTAGTGAAAGACCCGATTCTGACGGTCACAATTGTTTTGTGGATAGAAAAGGGATCTTCGAAAATTAGAGGGACTCATTAGGTATCACGCTTCGTTTATATTTTTTATGTGTTACTATGTTAATATATTCCTTCATACTCCATCTGTTCCTTCTGAGAGATAAATTATACAACTATCTGTTCAAGTCAACTTTACTTCTAATAATTTGAATAGTAATTGTTAGTTAATAATAGTGTTATAATTTTATTTTTTAAATACCTTCATTTTACAACATACTTTCAAGTACTTAACAAGAACAAATATTTATTTAACAAGAACAAAAAACTGATATATGTACTTTTTCTGTAATAAAGTATATATAATAGTTATACACAATAACAAGTTTATCTTAACCATTGAAAACCCGAACAATCACTATGTTTAATGTATTTTATTTATATAAACAAAAATCAATATCAAGTTATGATACAATAATAACAAAGATATATTTATAGTTTTACATATTTAACCGATTTAATTTGTTGAATAAAAATTTAGTTATTATTTCGAGATTTGAAATTAGTTTCAAATGAAAGATGATATTATGTATTGTACAAATAAAAAACATTAAATGTTTTTGATTATTTTTTTCAAAATACAATTTTTTATTTAAAATCTTGATGTCAAACAGTCAAATCTAATTTTTACAACTTTTAATAAAAATCGATTTAACGGAAAGTTCTTTATTCTTTGTTCGTAACATATAATTTTAATAAAAATTAATGTTTTTTAGACACAAACACGAAGAATATGTTACGTAATCACTTTCACAAAAAGTTTTGGCTTATTCTAACTTTACATAAAAATGGAATTATAAATACTTACGTTCAAAATTAACGAAATAACTGAATCAATTTAATCTAAATTTTACAGTACATTTTTATAAAAAGTGCATATATCTAATATCAAATTTAAAAATATTCATTGATTATTCAAAACTTGGTATAGATATTTTAATATCAAAATAAAAGTAACAGTGCTTGTGCTTAATGCATAAAAATGAGTATTATGCAAAGTTAATAATATGAAGAGAGAAAATAGAAGATGTATACAAGGAACAAGGAATATTCATATAAGAATTGAATATAGAACAGTAACACTTGAAACTTTAAATATTTGAATATTTCTTATATGTATATTGTCAAAGATTAAAAAACAAAGACAAAAATTAATTTTCGCCTAGATGACATTACAATATCGAAACTTTAAGTCAATTTTTTCAATAGATGATACTTAATGTAACATCTCATTCAAAAACAATCTGATCAAAAACTCATTTCATAAGTCTGAAACGCTTTTGTGAGATAAATTATATTAATTAAAATAGTTATTTAAAAGTTTTTATCTATTAAACTCTAATACTGTAAGTGGCAGATCTTCAGAATTCATTATATTTTGATTTTTAATATGCATATTATTTGTTTCATTTAAAAGATTGGTTTCTGTTCGATTAATAACAAATTCTGGTAATAAAGAGGATGTTACTTCAGATTGAAATTGATAAGTATTATCTTTCCTATCTTCTGTATTTTTAAAACCTGAATTATGATTGATTAAATTTGTTCCATTATCCACATTCATTATACTTGTCCTATTATTATTACTATTAATTTCAGATTTATCTGATATGGAGTCACTTTCATTTAAAAAAACAGGGATTACTTCGGATTTAACACTATTATTCATATTTTTGCTTTGTTCAAAGTTTTTCAAAAACAATGGTAATTCTTGAGATGATACTTCCAAATGTTCATAGTTAACTGTTGACACAAGAATATTCTGAGCACTTAAGTTTATATCTTTTTTATTTGTATTAGTTTCTTCAAAATTTGGTGTGTTTTCTGTATTACTTCTCATAGAAGGTTCCATGAAATTCACAGCATCTGAAAAATATATAATCTCTCCAATGTTAAGTCGATATGATGATTCAAGCATTGGTGACGATTTATCATTTTTATCATTATCTAATTTAGTGTTCATAAGTTTTGCTAAAGTTTCATCTGAAATATCGACAACTGCAGCAGGTCCATACTCTGGTCGCTTTGGTAAATCAACTGCAAATATGATCTTGATGTTAATAACAAATTTTATTTTATAATAATTATTTACTTGATATAAATTGACCATTATAAAACCTTTTAAAATTTCATTAGCAACATAATCAGCAGCTCTAAACAATTCTGCTTTCGTAAGAAGGTCTAATAAATTTTGTAATTTAGGCCTTAGTCTACCCATTGTACTCCATTCCTCCAAGAAAATTTTTGCAGCATTCTCTCGATGCTTTTGGGCTACTTGATCAATTATGCTGATAGTAGTAAATTTATTATTTATTGAAGTAATTTAGTAAATGGATAATTTTTCTATATATTGATATAATAACAGTAATTACCTAATATGTTCACTATTAAACCTTGGCGTATTAGTATCATCTCGTGGAATAAATGCCATTAATTTTTTCCATGAGTCAGAAATATTTAGTATTTCTGCAAGTGCATATTTATGTGCTGGATGTAACTTTCGAAGTTCTGTGTTTGAAGTAATGATAAAATTTGCCATGATTTTATACGTAATTCGTGGAATAATCTCACTTTTTTTTCGTTATATTAAAAATTATATTATTAAATTGATAAAGTACTTCGTTAAATTACTTGGCGAAAAAATAAAAAAAACACTTTCTTAAATTACGTATTATTTCCTATTCTACGACTTTTTTTATTTTTTGCTATAACATAACATATATGCTTGGATTTGGACACAACACCAAAATAAGGTTAGCAATAAATATGATTCATGTTTGGATTCATTAACCATGCTTATATAAATCACTCGTATAATAAACATTTGAAAAACATAATCGTTAAATTGTTATATTGTCGGTAATCTCTGTTTTATCGACTTGCCTTAGAAAAGACATGATAGCTATGAATAAAAATAAGCGTGTTTATAACCCCTGTTTTATAGTGGCTTCATTAACAATAAGAACAGTCGTAATTTTTGACCGATTTTGATGAATAAGGTCTCTCTCTTAAAGACAAAAGTTTAAACTAGGATCCCGTTTGTTCAAATTTTTTAAAAAGCTTCATTTTTTTAAAAACATCATTAAAAAGTGGTATTTTTTCGAGAATAATTTATTCACAAACATAAAGCTTTTTGAAAAATTCAAAAAACAAGGTCCTCGTTTAAAACTTTATTTTTAAAATGAGACCTTGTTCATAAAAATTGATTAAGAATTACATCTGGACTCATTGTTGGCGGAAATGTTTTCGACATATTTTATGAAAAAAAAGTTTCATATAACGGTGCCCCTTAAAATCTGCAGCAAAAGAGAAAAAGCTCGTACTCCTACTATTGATTTTCATATATACACTTGAATGGTGTGTGTTTTGTTTCTATGAAATAAATGATTGCTTGCTTGTTGTTAAGTAAATTGATGATGATGTATTTCAAATACAAAAAAAAATATGTTTCACGATGCTCACACGGAGAAACTACGATAACTCGCTCGGATATTTTAGTAAGCTTTGGATAGATGATTCTATAACAAAAATAAAGAAATATATGTTCGGCCTTTCGTGTCAATGGGTCTAATTTTCTAAAATATTATTAAATTTTAGAAAAATCTATAGTTTTTTATCTTATTCTTTTATTTCTGTACTAGATATAAAAATTTTATAAACAATGTGTAGCACATTGGGAAGCATCTAGATTTACAAGTTAGGAATCCTAGGTTCTCAAAATTAAATAATTTCGTCAATTTTTTTTTTTTATTGAATCGATGTAAACAAATATAATCAACTAATTTATTCTTTTTTTCCCTTATTTGATAGTTTAATAAGGAATTATTGAATTTCTTATATTTATTATCACCCACCAATGGCTGACGTGAATTTCGCGGTGATCTGTGCTAAATAGGATAGCAGCAGTATAATTTTGTTCGGTGACAAACGCATATAAAGTATATACATTTGTCGATTATTTTTTATTAATAAATATATACTTATATATTATATATTATTTTTATAAAAATCAAAACACTTGTTTATTTCCTCCACACTATCTACGAGGTTTTTCTCCCAATGTTATTTTTTTTTATGATTTCCTCTATAATATTCCATTTTACATTATTATTGTTATTACTATTATTATTATTATTATAGTAATAATATATAATGTAATAATGTAATAATAAGAATAATGATAAAAAAAATAAAAAAATAAAAGAATATACTTATATACATCATGTACACATATGATGACGGTAATTTATAATAATAAAAGGAGAAAGAATATATTATCTCACGTAATGGTTTTTTACGCTAATTTTTAACAAATTGTATCCTGATAATTTCGATATTGATCAACAATTGATAGATACGTCTCATGTATGTTGATTATATTTATATACGTCTTGTTTTAATTTATATTAAAATAATATAATATATAAGCATTCATTAATTATTTTTAACAAAATATTTCATAAAATCTTGTTTTTTTGTTATAAATTTATATATTAGTTTTATATATGACAATTATATTTATTATTCTTTATACATTTCTAACGAAATAAATGCATCGTACCAAATATGGATTACTGCGAGAAGCATGTAATTATCAAAAAATATACGTATGAGAGCATAAAACCGATTATGATACATAAGAGGGGTATAATCAAATATTATTGTACACTGATATAATAGGCGTATGGTAAGGGTAGTGTTTCTAGTTGCGCTTATAGTTCATATTTTATCCATATCTGTCGCTGAAGTCGCACACGCTTCAAGCGAAGAGTAAGGAATAGTCAAGATATTACATTTTAATACAATATTTTCTTATATACTATTTTATAAAGTAGGATTTATTCAATTATTGCTATAGTATAATTATCAATTTTAGTATCATGTATATCAAGAAATAAATTACTAATCTATGGACAAGTGATAAGATCTAACCTATGGACCAATGAGAATTCTCAAATTAATTTTTTTTTCTTCTCTTCACGTGGCGTTGTGCCTTTTCAAATGGATGGATCGTTACTAAAAAAGTCATATTAGTTTGAAAACGAGATATTGTTGAAATTGTTAAGTTCGAGAAGATTACATTATTCTAATAAAATTATTATTGAAAATTTTTTCTTGTTTGATGATTTTTAATCGCTAACGAACTTCATATATTTTGTATGTATCTAAAGATATATAGTTACTGTGGAGTACAGTTTAGTTTGGTATAATTCATGCAGTACAAGATTCAAGCGGAAAAGTTTATGTTGGTTAAAATATAACTGAGATCAAAGAAAGAATGCAAGCTTTTTTAAAAATAGGTAAATTAGGAACAGGAGATACGAAGAAACCTTCTACTTCTCGTACAAAGGAAGAACGAAACGAGTCATTAACACCATGGGTAGAGAAATAGTAAGTAGTTTCTAATACTTTATTATAACCTTATTATACTTTATTATATCTTATGATAAAAATTTTTATTGTAAGATATTATTTAACAAATGAGATTTGTAATTCGTAGTTTCGAATTATAACTTTATATTCTCAACTACTTTTATTTCTAATTCATCTTTATAGTCGACCAAGAACAGTTGAAGATGTCGTCGAGCAAGCAGAAGTCGTTGAAGTCTTAAAACAATGCATGGATGGTGGCGACTTTCCAAATTTATTGTTTTATGGTCCACCTGGTACTGGTAAAACTAGTACTATTTTAGCTGCATCTAGGCAATTATTTGGTACAATGTATAAAGAAAGAATTCTAGAATTAAATGCTTCCGATGAAAGAGGAATACAAGTAATAAGAGATAAGGTAAAATCGTTTGCCCAACTTACTGCTGGAAGCATGAGAAAGGAGTAAGTACAATCTTCTGCTTATTAGAGAAAAGAGCTTATGTTCTTCTCACATATTTATTGTACATAGCTAGTGCCAATGATGTTTTAGTAAAAGGTCTGAGAGATTAATTGAAGCATTACTTGTACAGTCATTTACAAAGTCATTTAATAAGTAGAATTCATTTAGTTGTTTTCAGGAGTTCAAATTAAGTATCTTTGTAACTCTTATTACCAACTAAACATAAAATTGCTTAAGGGATTATAAGAAATCTTGGAGATATTGTTAACTTTTAATCTCTTATTACAAGCAAACAAAGTATTAATATATTACAGCATTGTACGTTGCTTCATTATTCTATATGATAACAACATTACGCTGAGGCATTTATAATTTATCTATAATCTTAATTAATATTATTTATATAGATTTTGAAATATGTATAGTTATATAAATTAATATTTTTAGCGGAAAGAAATGTCCTCCATTCAAAATTATTATTTTGGATGAAGCAGATAGTATGACCCATGCAGCGCAAGCAGCTCTTCGTCGTACAATGGAAAAAGAATCTCATAGTACGCGTTTTTGTTTAATTTGTAATTATGTATCAAGAATTATAGAACCTTTGACATCACGTTGTACGAAGTTTAGATTCAAACCACTTGGAGAGGAAAAAATTATTGAACGATTGGAATATATATGCGAGAAAGAAAGCCTAAAAGCTGAAAAACCAGTTCTTGTAAAAATTGTAGAAGCATCAGGTGGTGATTTAAGACGTGCCATTACCTGTTTACAATCCATTGCGAGATTAAAAGGGAAAGGCATAGAAGTTACAATCAATGATGCACTTGAAATTATTGGTGTAATTATATCCCATTCTTTTTCTAAACTTTAAAGTAATAATATATTTTAAGCAATTTATGATGACCTTTTCCAAAGAAGCCTAATTTATGGTGAAGTTTCAAATCATCTATATTTTATAAAAAGAGCTTTAAAGAGAGGAACTTTTCAATATTTATAGTATTTTTGAAGAGATAAGAGAGCTTTCTTTAAAAGTAAAATTTTTAAAAGTATTTTTATAAAGTATTTTTATATTTTTTAAAGTAGAATTTATTATAAAACTAAATCGAATAAAAATCCACTTCTGAAAATTGTAGCCATTTCAAATAACTATTACTTGGTTGTATAAAATGGTACTATATTTATTATTTACAATCACTATATACAATTTTTTCATAATCTTGATTGTCATCATAAGCCAGGTTTCTTTTGAAAGAATAATAATTGTTATTTATTATAATGTACGTTTATTTTTTCAGTTTGTACCTGACAATTGGCTTGATAATTTAATGGAAGTCTGCAAATCTAAAGATTATAATAGAGTAGAAGCGTTTATTGAAGATTTCTTACTGGAGGCTTATGCAACTTCGCAGGTATTTCTTTAATTTTTTGCCAAAACTCTTTTTGTTATTTTAATTATTTTGACATTTTTTTAGGTTATAGAGCAACTAAGCGATAGAATAATTTATTCTAATGAATTTTCCGATAAGCAGAAGGCAATGATTGCAGAAAAACTTGGGGTAAATTAAAATTAAAGAATTTTTGAATAATATTACATCTCTTTGTTCCTATCTCTCTCTCCTTCCCCCTCTCTTTCTCTTTGCTTCTCTCTCTCTCTCTGTGTGTGTGTGTGAGAGAGAGAGAGAGAGAGAGAGAGAGAGAGAGAGAGAGAGAGAGAGAGAGAGAGAGAGAGAGAGAGAGAGAGAGAGAGAGAGAGAGAGAGAGAGAGAGAGCACAGTACGTTTGCCCAATGTAACACAATATCTTTATTGTGTTTTAGCAATGTAACTACAGGTTATTGGAAGGAGGTAGCGAATACATACAACTTATGGACCTCTGTTACTGTATTATAAAGGCATGCAATTGAACATGAATTTTTTTGTTAAATACGGGTCAAAGTTCTTTGCATCGTTTATATAATGTATATTAGTATATTTATATTAACAATAAAATAAATATTTTTTATGTTTTTTTAAGATATGTATTAAACAATATCTAATATTTCTATTATGTGACTAAGACTTTTTTTTACATAGTTTTAAGTAATAATACAGGTAAGGATATAT